GACCTCTCCCGTTGCGGAGCACAGGCTCCGGACGTGCAGTCTCAGCGGCCATGGCTCACGAGCCCAGCCGCTCCGCGGCATGTGGGATCTTCCCGGACCGGGGCACGAAACCGTGGCCCCTGCATCGGCAGGCGGACTCTCAACCACTGCGCCACCAGGGAAACCCGGATTAATTTTTTTCTCTGCCTTTTCTGTAAAAAAGGGGATAAGGGGCTGCACTTATCAGTTGCTCCTGCAGTTATTTCTCAAGCAGGCCTCACTTCTTCCTCACTGTTTGAAGCTATGCGTCAGTGCCTCCTGAGTATATTTGCTCTGTTATCACTCATAAGGATCTGCTGTCTTCCTTTTCCACTGACTGGTAGAACTACAATCATACAAACCAACAGAGTCCAACTGGGAACCATATAATCCTCCCTAGTGGGACACATTGAACAATGTGTGTTCTATTTAGATATTTTTGAATTAACATATTAAGCATCTTAGGACATTTTCTAAAGTAGGTTCTTTTTCCTACAGTTAAAACTCCTCCAGGAAGAGACTTTTTTTTTTTACCAAATTGATCATATGAAATAATATTCATAAATAAAGAAAAACATTGTTGGTACTAAGCGGCCTATTATCAAGATTTTCCCAGGCAAAGCTATTTTAGTAGACAAAGGTTGCTGACTTTGGACCAAGTTTCCATCCTCTCTTCTTTCAGATAAGTAAGCCCTCCAAATATTTGTGAAATTTAGTTGAATTGACTATTAGAATTGCCAGGTAATATAGGACACTTTAGTATAATATGTTCCATGCAATATTTGGGCCAGACTTAAGCTACAAATTATTTGTTGTGTATTTGAAATTTCCATTTAATTGAGTATCCTGCTTTTGGTTTGATTTTTTGTTCCTCTGTTGACCCTATTTATGGATTGAGACTGCCCCCTCAATGCTAGGAGCTCCCTAGCATTGACTACTCTTAGGCCTTCTGGGCACATGTAAATAACAGATTGAATTCTTTCTCATGATAGAGGAAAGGTAGTTAGATAGCAGATGGATTCTGAGTACCTCGATTATTAATTCAGGAAAGAATCTGCCATTCCTAATGCCCTGATACATGAAATTGCTTCTGCTGTCTTCCCACCCTACAAAGGGCTCCAGCTAGAACTGGATGGGTCTAGTGCAGTCCTGGAGCTGCCATTGAGCTACTTATTAGTCAACCAGCCAGTGCAGATGATTGACTGGGCATATCTAGACCTGCTGTTTGGAGGACTAATCACACTTCCAAAGTATAGGTATCTTAAAACCAAAAGCATACAGTGATTGTGGGGGGAAAAATATTTCCCACCAATTATGACTTATCACCATAACAATTTGTGTGTAACAGAGTAATGGCCATGATATTTTTTTTAATAAAGTAAAAAACCAAAAACCTGTTCATCGATTATGACATGATTTAAATATAGATATATTTTAAAAATCTTGTTGGAATCCTAGATAGGCAAATTTCACACCAAACTCTCTCTTTGGATGTGTATATCAATGTGAAAGGCAACTCTCTGAATTTGTACCTCAGTGTAAAAAGCATACTATTAATAACTAGATTAATACTAACATTTTAAACATTTTTAAACGGTGCTAAAGAAAAACAATTTTTGATTTTTAACATTTAAATTTGTAAACAACTCTAAAAGAAAACTGTACAAAGCACATTAGTTTTCACCTGCAGGAATGAACATACATTAATTCATTCAATAGATATTTATTGTATATATCCCAAGGGCTGGCTAGTCACTAAGGATACAGGGGGAAAGAAGACACATTTTACCTTGATGGAAGTTACAACACGGGGAGCAGATTATAGGGAGATCTTACAGAGTCTAGTGAGTCAGGAAAGGCCTGCCTCAGAAAAGTAAGATTTCTGCATAGCAGTTAGTCAGTGAAGAGAGGAATAACAGGGAAAATTGTGTTTCAGGCAGAGGAAACAAAAAGTGCATCATTCCTGCGAAGAACTGGAACAAGTACAACAAAGTGTAGAGCGTGAGAGGAAGAGTGCCTTGAAGAAAGCTCAAGAGGTAGGCAAGAGTCAGCTCATGCAATAGCATGCAGTCATACATTTGGGTAT